TAAATTTATTTGACTTTTATTTTAGTTAATATACTAATAATTAATAATACTAATTAATAAGTATACAAAATTAATTTTAAATTTAATAAATTAAATTTCAATAACTTAATTGACATATATTAATAAACATTAAAATTTTATAATTCGTTATGAAATATTTTTTTATTTTAATTTTGTTATTATTAATACTAAGTAAAATAGTAATTAAATTTCATCTTTAGTACATTCATTTGCAAAAAACAAGTAAGATAATATAAAATATTTTTTAATGGTAAATATATTATAAAGTATAATATAATATTATTTTAATATTTCCTAGATTTGCTAAATTGTATTTTTGGTTTTTCAAATTTGAGAAGCCAAAGTTACAATTTAGCGGGAAAATTACAATTTATGTCCCTAAATTTTACCACTAAAACGGTTTATGTCCTCAAACATTTCAATCCACGAAATATGTTCTCAAACTTGCCACTTTTGATCACTTTATGTTCTGCCGTTAACGTCGGCAGTTAACGTCGGCAGCTAACTTCGATGGAAATAGCACGCGTGGCTCACGTGACGTCTATGTGGCCGTTAAATGTGACGTGGAATAATATATTGAATATTAAATGTTGACGTGGCACAAGAATATACTAATTTCCTCTAATCCACTCTGCCCAAATCCCAAATCCCAAATCACGTTTCATAAAAAAAATCCAAACATTCTCACATTTGAAGAGTTTTTCCCTTCTCAAAGAACCACAGATTCACGTGCAAACACATGTCTGCAATCGAGAGGAAGAAGGTAAACGCGACTCCTCTTATGGTTATGAAAAAGATTTTAGAGGAAGCTTTAATTTTTCTCCCAACTCCGTCTCTAGAACGTTGGGGTCGTGTGATTCTTCGCTTGCTGATGCTTGTGCCCCTTGTGGTCTCGATGAAGCGAGCACAAGGATGGTGAAGATGGCACAAATTCTACCCAACTCAGCAGATTCAGAACCTGCCCAGAAGGTGTTCGACAAAATGTTTGAACCAATTCCGGAAAAAAGAAACATGCAGCACCTGTCAAAGCTGCATATAATTCTTTTTTCGCCAAGAATAGAGTGCCCAAGAACGGATTCCAGCTCCCCGACTTCCTCAACGAAGTGGAAGAAGACATGATATTTCAGCCCGAAGATGAAAGTGAAATCGAGGAAACATTCGCATTTGTTTATTGGGCTATTTTGCTGGTAAAATACCACGAAAAATGGCCATGGATTCACAGACGATTCTGTTATTTTCGAATTTCACCTCAATTGAAGGATTCGAAATGGGGTTTTAGGGATTGGATTTACGGGTTCATTGGGGATATGGAGAATTAGGGATTTTAGAATAGAAATAGGGGAGGAGAATGACGTGTCGCTCCACATCACGTTTCGTCGACCAAGTAGGCACTGGGTGTTGTACAGCTCGACATTTAACGGCCACATAGACGTCACGTGAGCCACGCGTGCTATTTCCATCGAAGTTAGCTGCCGACGTTAACGGCAGAACATAAAGTGATCAAAAGTGGCAAGTTTGATGACATATTTCGTGGATTGAAATGTTTGAGGACATAAATCGTTTTAGTGGTAAAATTTAGGGACATTAACTGTAATTTTCCCCGATTTAGCCAATTTAAAAATTATGCATTTTCCTCTTGGAGCTCACTTTTTTGCTCTTGATTGTTCATATTGTGTAAAATATGATTTTGCATTACACTCTTGGTGATGCTCTTAGAAGCATTTTTTTAATCATTTGTTGAGTGGCAATTATGTAATTATTTGTTGAGTGTCTGTAATTGCTAATGAGTGGCAGTTCTTTAATTATTTGCTGAGTGACAGTTATTTAATCACTGCTTAGCGACACTTATGTATTTACTGTTGAGTAGCACTTTTGTAATTACTGGTTGAGTGGAAATTTTGTAAATACTTGATGAGTTTGAGTTGTGTAATAATTTTTGAGTGACAATTATATACTTCTTTAGTGAGTGACAGTTCTGTAATTACCTGATGAGTGCTAGTTTTGTAATTACTTAGTGAGTAACAGTTCTGTATCACTGCTAAACGACAGTTCTGTAACTATTTGATGAGTGTTAGTTATATAATTACTTTATGTATGACAGTTCTGTAATTATTGTTCAGTGGCAGTGCTATAATTACTTGGTGCATGGTCGTTCTTTAATTACTTGATGAGTGGCAGATCTGTAATTATTGTTAAGTGGTAGTTTTGTAATTACCTGGTGAATGACTATTCTGTATTTATATGCCAGTACTGTAATTACCTGTAGAATGACAGTTCTGTAATTATATGTTCAGTACTAGTTTTGTAATTATTGATGAGTGGCAGTTATGTAAGTACTACTGAGTGGCTGTAATTACTTGTTGAGTGAAAATTCTTTAATAACTGAGTGGCAGTTCTGTAATTATTTGGTGAATGATAGTTCAATAGTTATTGGTAAATGGCAGTTCATTAATTATTTGTTGAGTGACAATTTTATAATTGTTGTTGAGTGGTAGTTATGTAATTATCGGGTGCGTGTCACTTCTATAATCATTGATGAACTGCAGTTCTGTAATTATTTGTGAGTGGCATTTCCATAATTACGATGTTGAGTGGGATTTCTGTAATTACCAAGTGAGTGAACATTATGTAATTACTTGATGCGTGGCAGTTCTGTAATTACTGTTAAGTAGCAGTGTTGTAATTAACGGTGAGTGGGAATTCTGTTGCTGTTGAATGTCAATTTTATAATTAATGTTGAATGGCAGTCCTGTAATTATCTGTTGTGTGGTAGTTCTCTAGTTACTTGATGATTGGAAGTTCTGCAATTATTGTTGAGTGGAAATCATATAATTACTTGGTGTTTAGCAATTGTGTAATTACTTGATGAGCGGCAATTTCAGAATTACTATTAAGTGGCAGTTCTATAATTACTTGGTGAGGCATTTCTATAATTACCTGGTGAGTGGTACTTCCGTAATTAATGCTTAATGGGAGTTATGTTATTATTTGTTGAGTGGCAGTTCTTTAACTATCTGGTGAGTGACAGTTCTGTAATTACGATGTTAAGTGACATTTCTTTAATTACTTGGTGAATGGTAATTCTGTAATTACTTGGTGCGTGGCAGTTCTCTTATTAATGTTCAGCGGTAGTTCTATAATTAATCGGTAAGTGGCAATTCCGTAATTACCTGCTGAGTGCAGTTCTTTATTTACCTGCTGAGTGGCAATTATGAAATTATTTGATAAGTGGTCGTTATATTATTACTGTTGAGTGACACTTTCGTAATTACGGGTTGAGTGGTAGTTCTTTAATTACATGTTGAGTGATAATTTTGTAATTACCTACTAAGTGGTAGTTTTTAATTACATAGTGAGTGGTAATTATGTAATAATTTGGTAGTGACATCTATATTATATATAAAACTAAAATACACAATAAAAGTTATCCAGTTGAGGAGATTGAGTCTACATTATTTTATAAATTTCAAAATAACCCACTTACCATATTCACCCATATTATTAATCAATTAATTTGACATTATTGGTTTTAAAATTTTATCTCTCCTACATGTCAAAATGGTGTCTTTTTATTGGTTATTGAGTTTCCTTTTTCAATCAATTGCTTCATATTAAAAACGTAGATATATAAATGTACATTCCACTTAATTTGGGTTAATTAAATTTTATGCACAATATTATATTAATTGCCAAAAAAAACCCAATTTTCAAATTTCATCTATCCTACATGACAAAATAGTGTCTTTTTATTGTTTAATGAGTTTTTTTTTTATTATAATATTTTCGATAAAAAAACCGTGAGACTGAAATGCAATTATGTTCCACCACATATATCACATATTATTATTAATTTCAAAATAACCCCACTTACCATATTCACCCATATTATTAATGAACTAGTATTCACCCGTGCGATGCACGGGGTGACATATTTTCAACTGGAAATACATGTCTGAAAAATAAATTTACGCATATATAAATTATTACGCTCATTGAATTCAAATACAAAAAGCGACCAGCAATATTGAAGCATCATGTTCTTCATAGTTACATCATAAGAATAATATTAAAATATTAGTATATCGTCAAAAATAAATCTTAAAGATAATAAAATTTGCACTGAGCATCCTAGGGACATGATTGAAAATAACATCGCACGGGGGAAATTATATAGAGAAGAAACACCTGCCAAAGAATAAGTTGTTAAAAAAAAGACATGTTACATGAATAATTGGTAAATATGAAAATATTCTCTACCTTCAAATTTGATAATAATTGGTAAATATGAAAATATTCTCTACCTTCAAATTCGATGAAATACTTCCTTGTACATGGCATTTCTAGTAACATTGGTGAGTTCACTCGAATCCAACTTGATGAATATCTTAATGCCACCTCTGCTCGTAACTCTGGACAGTGCAACATATAGTTGATCATGGCTGAAGACATGCTTAGGAAGATACAAACCAACATGCGAAAGAGTTTGACCTTGGCTTTTATTGATCGTCACTGCAAAAGAAACAATCAATAGAAACAGTCTTCTCTGAAATTTAATTGGCAGTCCGGTAGATGGTATTAAAGTCATCCGAGGATGAACACCATGTCACCGATATTTTTTCCGGAAAGAGTTTTGTAACTCAGAACGTGAATGCTAGTTCTAATAATTTGAAGTTTGGTCCCGTTACACAATCCTTTAGCTTGATCGATGTTTCTTATTAGCATAACGGGTGCACCAATCTTGAACTTCAACGCATGAGAACGAAGTTCGGAGCATCTTATTGTGTTGAGGAATTCAGTCGAATAAATTTCTGCACTATCCTCCATTGTTTGCTCGTCCCTAAACATACTATCTGAGCTCAGGTACACCTTCTCCTCTCCTGGAAGGAGAGACATTAAGTGATCGTTCACAAACTCGACGCATTCATTAGTTGGTGCAAGAATTGCTCTCCATTGAAAATAATCTGGATCATATATGTTACTCAACAATCCGGGTAAACGAAATCCAGTAGGTCTCTGAATGGATCTTCTGAATCACCAATCAACATGTCATCGGGAATCACTATCGAAGCTTCACCATGATTTTGTTCCCCAACATCCTCACTACCAACCTTCAGTATCCAGTCTCCAAATTCTTTTACCTCATCCACGTTAGATGGAGAAGAGCATGACTGCAATCTCATGTTCTTAGTCAACTTCATGACACGACAGAAATTCCACAGCGAAGAGGAGTTTATATTAGCATGTACTATGTCCTGCCTTGATGATTTGAGCACAACTGGTAAAATCTGCCTAAAATATCCTCTAAAAACAACCACCTTTCCACCAAAGAGTTTGTCAACCTGTAATATTGACTTCATTTTCTTGTCAAGCGCTTCAAAACAGCATATATGCATCATAGGAGCCTTGTCCCATATAGCTTTGCCCTTATGAACAATTCCGCCTGTGGACTTTGTTGCGATATGCTACAGGTGGAACTCTCGTGTACATTTATGGGTAGTCCGAATCGAGAATGAGTTGTTCTTCCACCGGGGAGCAATAACGATGCTATACCACTCGATGCAACGTTAATTACAATCTCTCCTTTGGAACGAACTGCAGCCGAAAGAGTTTACCCATAGAAACGTCTTTCCCGTTTCACCATGGCCATATAGAAAGAACATTCCACCACAGTCATTGGATACAACATCCATGACTACATCATAAACCTTTGTTTGCACGTCTGTAATCCAAGCAAGACACCGTTGAAGTTCCCTACCCATTTCAAAGCGGTCGTAATCTAGTTCATCTAACACCAATATGTTTACTGTGTCATCCGCTGAGAATTCGATTGGAACTGGCATGGGCGCGTAATTTCGCAAGCTTTTACCATTGCTTTGGAATATTTTTTCTATTTCGGTGAGAGTATAGTTCTTCAAGCTTTCATCCGATATATGTAAATTTTCAAAAAAAAAATGGATAAATTATGTGCATTTAGTTCAAAACGACAATATTAAAAGGATGAGTAATATTTAAAATCTAATTGAATAATGTGTTATACAAATTGCCATACCTGGATTAGTATGAAGACTTTGTTGTTTGTAAGCAATACTCTCAGCCAAATCCAACCAACAACTTTGTCAAACATGTTCGGGCCAACTTAAGCTATTGGAAATAAGCATAACTACAAATAACCTTCTTATATAATTTCTCGGTGCCCAAGTATTCACTTCTATTAATGAATATATGTATTCTTTGTCGTTATCTAATAAACCCAACACATAACATGCATCCCTGAACGTAGGGAAGACGGTGTCAAAAACTTTTCTGATGTCCTCGTAGCACGTATATCCCCTCTGAATGTTAAGTAGCAATCTAAGGTATTAGTCTTTCCCCTTTCCAGGGGGAACATTCGCAAGCCTACCAATAGAAAATCTTTTTTTCCTTGGCGCCCAAGTTCGAGAATCCTCTTTTAACCCAAGTTCGCAAACCTCCACATTGCCTCACATGCCGAAAGATATCTGCAGTCGTAGTATATCTTTATCTCATCACAAATCTCAACACCGCCATCTGTATTGCGTGTTTCATAAATTGCCGCCGTAACTCGGCCATGCCCCTTGTTTACGTATTTGAACATGTATTTGATTGACTTGTTCTGGTTGCATAACTCGATATTAATGTGAGATCGGTATTTACTCAACAATATACGATTGTACGGGACTACAAACCCATTGTCAAGAGTAGTCTTCTTCTTCGTAACTGTTCTGCCATCTTCCATTCTCCTGTACACGGTAAAATCATCTGCATCTGATTTAGTGTGCTGCACAAATGGCTTTGGAAATCGCTTCGTGCAAACTCACACATGAGCAAATTCTTTAATTTATATGAATGAAGTAAATGTATAATTATAAACTGAGATCTAATTAAATACTTACATGCTGTAATACGTCTGAATATACAACCTTTCTTGATTTATGTCATCATACTATCGAGCTTCATCTTGAACACACGACAAAGAATGTCTGGCCGATCCTCCGGCCTGAGATTTGTATCTTTCAACACCCTTTGTATTTCAGACCATTGAGGATTGCATGTGATGGCAATAAAGAGGGTTGGAGATCCAATGCAGTTACATATTTGAAGAGCATCAACGAAGTTGTTAAACATATACCTTGGACCTGCGGTGAACGACCCTGGAATTATAATGCGTTGTCCAATTGATTTACCCTCAATGTCTTCTTTAAAAATATTTTCTTCGATACCCTTGTATATGTCAACCCTAAGTTACGTTGATCTTGATTGAACCTTATGAAATTCAACCTCTGTGACTCTACCATCGAAAATACATCAACACAGAACTGCTGAAATAACTTCTTGAAATGCAAAAGTAACAAATGTTATCAACGCCGTTTATAGATTAGATATGCAAAGAACTCTCGCATGCTTACATTCTTCCATTTTCTATTATTAGCAAGCAAAGATTCTCTCAAACAGATATCGTCTCGATAATCATCTTCCCTGTAAGAAAATAAAAGAGGATATTGTAGAGGCAAGTAAAGAGGATAGAGCTCACTGATTCGTTGAAGCTTATTTGAGCGTGTCTCAGCTACAATATCCCTAAACGCATGTAACGAATCCAATACAATGCAATTGACCTGCTATTTTGTACAATGATTATACAAAATAAGTAAAACGTTACCAAAATTATACAAATATAAATATTTAATGACATAAAATCATTCTACAATAAATTACCTTGATAAAAATATTGAGTGGAGCCCGTAGCAAGTTCCTAGTACAATGCAAATTAACCTACAAATGAGGAATGCCAAAACATATAAGTTATACAAAATAAAGGTCATTATGTAAAATTGTATAAGATTTTATATAGTTACCTTCATATATGCCGAAAAACATCCTTGTACCACAATATTTGTAGTTGGTTGTATCGCCAGATTCCGAGGTGATCAAAATCCTTATGCCACTTCAACTATTAACTCTCGAGAGTGTGACATAGAGTTGTCCATGACTGAAAACATGTCTGAGCAAGTGCAATACTACATGGGAAAGAGTTTGTCTTTTAACTTTTATTGATTGTTATTGCAAAGGAAACCATCGCCGAAAACTGACGTTGCTAAAATTTAATAGGCGATGTAGAGTTGGACGGTACCAATATCATTTGAGCAATGAACGAACTATATGGTCAACATGTTTATCGGGTAGTGTCTTGCATTTGAGAACGTGTTTTCCCATATTAATAACCTGAAGCCTAGTTTCACTGCACGATCCTCTAGCCTGATCAATATTTTTGATGAGCATAACGGGAATACATCTTTTCAATGCAACCTAGGTGGAATTCTGGAGCACGATATGGTGTTGAGGAACTCAGATCTATGATATTAACTCCTCATTGTACACACTATCGGAATTCAAATAAACCTTCTCTTCTCCAGTTATGAGCGACAAAAAATGATCATTCACAAAACCGACACTTTCATTAGTCGATGCAATAATTGTTATGGCCTCAAAGTACTCAGGATTGAACAGGTTGCTCACCATATCCAGGTAAACAAACTCTATAAGATCAAAAAATGGATCTGCAGAATCACGGATAAGCATGTCATCAAAAATTTCAATTTAAAAATTATTTTATTAGTATTAGTCTTAGTCATAATCATCATACTAATACTAATACTAATATTAATATTAATATTAATACTAATACTAATACTATTACAAATACTTATACTAATACTAATACTAATACTAATACTAATACTAATACTAATACTAATACTAATACTAATACTACTACCAATACTAATACTTTAATGCTAATATTAATGTACTAATGCCAATACTAATGTACTGATACTAAAACCAATATCAATACAAATATCAATACCAAAACCAATACAAATATCAATACCAATTATTTTATTAGTATTAATCTTAATCATATTCCTCATACTAATACTAATATTAATACTAATACTAACACTAATATTAATACTAATACTAATACTAATATTAATACTACTACTAATGTTAATACGTTAATGCTAATATTAATGTACTAATGCCAATACTAATGTACTAATACTAAAACCAATAGCAAAAAAAATAGCAATACCAAAACCAATATCATTACCATTACTATTACCATTACCTTTACCTTTACAAATATTAATACTAATCTGATAATAATACTATTACTATTAGTAATACTAATGCTACTGATAATCCTAATATGCTAATGTTAATGTTAATACCATTGTCAATATCAATTATAATTATAATCCTAATGCTAGTGTTAATGCTAATCCTAATCCAAATACGTTAATACTAATGTCAATCCTAATATGCTATTATTCACATTAATCCTAATACGCTAATGCTAATATATTAATGTTAATTCTACTTCTACTTCTAATGTTAATGGTAATCCTAACCCTAACACTAATTCTAATGCTAATCATAACCAAAATTACAATCCTAATATTAATTCTAATCATAATTATAATCATAATCTTAATCCTAATCATAATTATAGTCCTAATCATAATGCTAATCTTAATTTTAATGCTAATTCTATTCATAATAATAATACTAATCATAGTTCTTATCCTAAAAATACACATATGCTAATGCTACCGCTAATTTTAATACTAATTATATTATGCTAATGTTAATGCTAATGCTAATCCTAATCCGAATCCTAATTCTAATTATAATGCTAATATTAATACTAATTCTACTAATTCAAGTCATAATGCTAATCATAATACTAATATTCATACTAATAGTAAAATCCTAATGTACCTAATGCTAATGTTAATCCTAATGCTAACACTAATACTAATATTAATATTAATACTTATATGATAATGCTAATTCTAATTATAATTCTAATTCTAATATGCTAATGCTAATATGCAGCTTAATCCCACTTTGCACCCTTGAAATATGCCATTTTGGCACTTTGCACCTCGAAATAAATTAATAGTACTTTGCACCCTCGAAACATAATAAATCATGCATAATGCATCCCAAATGAATGTTTGAAGCTAATAAATGTAATTTAATATTTTTAGTGGTAGTTTTTAGGATGACAAATGTCAAATAATTTTTTTTATTCATCAATCATTTTGAAACTATAAAGTCCATAAATAAAAATACATCTCATCAACTTATTTAAAAATTATACTTTTTATCCCAATAAAATATTTTACGAAAAAAAGAATCCTTCATCTATTTCGTTATCAAGTTATCTGAAAATCATATTTTTTTTCCAAATATTTTTACTTCATATTTCCACCAGTTACAATAAGAAAATCCATCAATCGAATAATTTAGTGATAAAATTTTATTTTAGTTTATTTTGTAAGAAAATATAGTTTTTTCCAATAATCAGGTGTTTTTTTTTTCCCGCACTTTTTGCGCTCGAAATTAGGTTGGAGGTTGAAGAAAATAATAATTTATGTATTATTTTGCATACCTGATAAAAAAAAAACAATAAAAAAAATTTCCTTCATTATTCAGTTCAGGGTGCATTGTGAATAATTTATTGTGTTTTGAGAGTGCAAAGTGCTATTATTGTTTTTCAAGGGTGCAAAGTGCCAAAAGGCTCAATTTCAAGGGTGCAATGTGGAATTAAGCCCTCTAATATACTAATGTTGATCGTAATTCCAATTCTACTGCTAATGCTTATGCTAATCATAAACATAATCCTAATGTTGATGCTAATCTAAATATGCTAATGCTAATGATAATGTTAATGCTAATACTAATATTAATTCTAATACTAATCCTAATTTTAATGTTAATTCTAATTCTAATCATAATCCAAATACTAATACTAATA